GTGTGTGTGTGTGTTCACCAGAGAGAGAGAGGGAGACAGAGAAGAAAAGAGAGAAATCACTCTTTGGGGTGCTGGTCACACTGCAGTCCCTTCTCCTCCGTTCTCCATTCTCCTCTCAGGATTTTGGGCCCGCCTGCACATGTGCCTGGCATGATTTTCAGGCCACCAGGTCCAGGACTCCCACAGTTGGCCGTGTGGGAGTCCAGCACTTTAACCACTACACCACCTGCTGGCCCAGTGTTAATATGTTTTAATACAGCACATCTGAGAGACACATTATTCATGTGATCCCAAAAGAAAATGCTAGTAACTGGGTTTAACAATCTAAAATTATTGGCTGAAATATGAAATGTTTAAATATGTACAAACTTGTTGGAGCCAGCAGGTGGCATGGCTCCACAATTGGATCTAATTAATGAAGTTGGATCCTACACGACAGTTCAAATCATGAACCTGGCATCTTGAAAACACACTCTGAGGGGCCGGCTGGTGGCGTGGTGGTTAAGGGCACTGGACTTCCACATGGCTAACCGTGGTTTGAGTCCTGGACCTTGCTTTCTCACTTTCCCTCTCTCTCTCTCTCTGTTCCTCTCTGGTAAAATAAAAATAAGTAAATAATAAAGTTAAATAAAATAATTCTTTAAAAAAGAAAAGAAAAACACAGTGGACACGTGCATGTGTGCCCAAAATCCTGAGAGAAAACTAGAGGAGAAGGAATTGTGACATGGCCATCCCCCTGGGAGGTGATTTCTCACTTTCTCTCCCCCTCTCTCTCTTTGTCTCTCTTTCTCTCTCTCCACCAAGCACAGGCACTCTGTATCAAACTAAGATAATAATAATAACCACACATATATACATATATACACACATATATGTATATAGACATGTTTACACATACATTATGACTTAACTTGGGAGTGAGACCAAAGCCTAAACACAGAATTCATTTTTGTTTCATATACACCTTATACACATAACTTAGAGGTAATTTTATACAACATTTTTAATGAGTTTTGTACATGAAACAAACTCCGTGTACTTCGAACCATCAAAAAGTGAAGGTGTATCTCAGCCAATCTGTGGACAATCTGTGGCTGTTTGGCATCGCCATCATTCCTGACTGAATTTATATCCTCACTAATACGCAGCCATTTTCCTACACTTACGTACATGTAATTACTTATCAGTAAGAGATATGATATATCATTAATACAATAAAAAGCAACTTGTTCGAATTATCTAAGCAGCGCAGTAGTGTGAACAGAATACCCTGTATCAGTTGTTAAATAACAGTAACAGCAGACAGCGGTGGGCTTTCAGTCTTTGCCTATAACACTTTATGTTGATGAGGTTACCGCACAGACCTAGCTGTGGTGTCCATTGGTGTCCACTGCTAGGATGCTTTGCCTCACAGGCTCGGACCACATAGGAGGGCCAAGTCAACAGAAAGGCTGGACATGGTGCTATGTTCCGCAACATTTTGGGCGACTGAGGCAGAGGGAAATCATCATGGCAAGACCTTGTCTTTTAAAAATAAAAATGGGGACCAGCAGATGGCGTAATGGCTACATTGCTGGACTCCCAGGTAGTCAACTGTGGTTCAGGTCCCAAATCCGGTGGCATAAACTCATGCCAGGCGCGTGTGTGTGCGTGCCCAAGATCCCAAGAAGAGAAGGAGGAGAAGGGATTGCAGCGTGGCCATCCCCCTGGGGGGTGATTTCTTGCTTTTGGTCTCTCTGTCTTTCTGGTGAGCGCAGGTGCCCTATAGCAAAAACCTCTCCAAAAAAAAAAAAGTCACTGTATACTCTATTTTTAATTTTTAAAGATTAGATACATTTTTTTTTCTTTTTTAAATTTGGAGAGAAACAAAAGGAGAAGAGAGTAGGTGAGAAAGCGTTCCCCATGGGGGATGGCCATGCCACAATCCCTTTTCCATTTTTCCTCTCCAGACTTTGGTCACACATGCACATCTTCCCTGTTTTCCAAGTAGCTGGGTCCGATTGGCCTTTGGGATTCAGCTGCCTTAACTACCAAACCACTGGCTGGTGCTATTATATATTTTAGGTGAGAAGAAACTTTATAAGCAGTGAGAGACCCAGAAGTGGGTCATCTAGTGGTGAAGAGGCATTCTGCTGGATGGCTTTTAGATTTTATAAACCACCGTAGGATTTCTTGGTCTGTTATGATTGCGCGCTTCTCTAGTCCTTCAGTAAGCCTGGCACAGCATGTTGTCTTCGGGCATGTTTTTTGCAGTGTTAACATCATCTTTATCATCACTATTGTCACGGTCACCTTGATTCAGAACTATTTTGGCTGTCACCCTTGGTTAATGAATGAACAACAGGAACCTCACAGATGTTAAAAACTTCAATAGCTATTTTTTTCCAGCTTTCTGATGGACTCTAAAGATGTATATTTTGCATGTGTAAGGAGGTCAGACATATATCCTTTCCTTCCCTTCCCTCCCTCCCTCCCTCCCTTCCTTCCTTCCTTCCTTCTTCTTCTTCTTCTTCTTCTCTCTCTCTCTCTCTCTCTCTCTTTCTTTCTTTCTTTCTTCTTTCACTTGCCAAACAGAATTTTTCAAAGTTACCACCTTGCTCATCATCACCACTGAACATAGTCACAGCCAGAGATTGTGCCAGGCATGCATAGCGTGTCTTTAGTCAGCGTCCCAAGTGTTGGCAACAGCATATATGGCATCTTTTGTGTTAAACTTTTTTTGAAAGCCTTCCACAATGAAATCTTTGTTCACTTCTGCCAATATTGCTGTTTAAGAAAGTGTTTTTATGGGACCAGCAGTTGGCATAATGGCTCTGTCGCTGGACTACCACATAGACAACTGCAGTTCGAGTCCCAGACCAGGTGGCTTAAACTCACACTGGGCACGTGTGCCTGTGTGCCCAAGATCCCAAGAGGAGAATGGAGGAGAAGGGACTGCGGCGTGGCCATCTCCCCTGGGAGGTGATTTCTCGCTTTCTGTCTCTATGTCTTTCTGGCGAGCGCACGTGCCCTATAACAAAATCCTTTCCAAAAAGGAAGTGTTTTTAAGTTCACTTGTAATTGATCTGAGAAGATGACCTTGGGCACATGGCTGAATTAATGAAGTTGCATTTGGGTGGAAGTACATGGCATAAGTATTATTTTTGATGAGGATTTCAGCTGAAGGATGAGCAGAATAGTTGTCAAAGAATAACAAAATCTTTAGTTCCCATCTAGTCTAGCTTGTTTGTAGTAAGCACGAGCTGCTGATTTGAAACATGAAACCAAGCAAAAAAGAAGTGCCTGGTTTTGTTAGCATAATAACGGACTGATATGAAATTCACTCCTTTAAAACAGCAAGGGTGCACGCTTTGTCCTGTCACCGCTAGTTTACACCTATGCTGCATCAGCATCGGCACATCCCAGCATGGCTCTTCTGTGTTTGGCATCCTTAATTTCTGTAGGGACTGTCTAGACACCTCAGCTGTGGTCAGTGCTCAAACAGTGATGTTTCCTTGGAATTATCGGCTTGTTCTGGTGTCAGGTTTTAATTCGTTATGACCTCAGCAAACTTGCCAATACATTCCTCTACTTTGTGATCAGCAGATGCTTTATAACCACAAATGTTTGAAAATTTGACAGTGTTTCTTTTATATTTCTGCAACAGCCTCTCATATTCACAGGTACCTCCAATTTTTAGTTCTTTGTGCTAGATCTTTGCTTGTTCCATGTTCAGCATACCATTAAGTGGCATGTATTCCTGCAATATTGATGGATCCACTCTTTGAACACAAAACTGAGGTCTTCATTTGTAGTGTTTTAATATACGTCATTAACATCTCTTTATCATTTTCAGCTTAGAACTTCAACAGTTTATTCTTCTGTTTCTTTAGGTCACATTCGGTGGTCATTCCGACATCACACTCTGCTGTAAGAAGTCTCATGCTTACAGTGCCGTCCAGTTTCTCCAACAGCTTGCCTTCTGTGCTATAAACAAACATAAATGCTACCTCTTTTTCTATAACTGTAGGGCTACCTGCAGGTCATTTTGACATTTTCAGTATTATCTTTACATCATAGAGTAGAGAATAAACCAAATATCCACAGTAAGTAGTGCACGCAGGTGTTGGCCCTTTGTGGGACATCACAGGGATCCTGCCATCGGCACCTGTGGCCTACTCGTTGCCATTTTGTTACCCTGTGGGGGTGTGAGCATGGGGGAACCATGGAGAAGATAAAGTGGGGTGGGAAAGTCTTCTTTGAACTCTTGGGGACACTGAATAAACTATATGTTGTATACCTGTGTTTTGACTGCCACTTGTCATGTGAGGTCAACTATAGAATTTTTCACTTATAGTGACATATTGACACTCAGAAAATTTCAGGTTTTGGAGGATTTGGGATTTTAGATTTTCAGGTTAATGATACTCACCCTGTATTAACATGGATTTTGATTCTGTTCTAAAATGTAGACAGAGTTCTTTTTTCCCTTTCACTCCCTTGAAGTGTAAAACGAGATTAGGTTAGAAATTCTTTGTAGTTGGGGCCGGCAGGTGGGGTGGTGGCTAAGGGTGCTGGACTCCCACATGGCTGACCACTGTTCGAGTCCTGGACCTGGTGACTTGCTTTCTTACTTTCCCTCTCTCTCTCACTCTCATTTTCACTCTGTCCCTCTCTGGTCAAATTAAAATAAGTAAATAAATAAATAAAGTTAAATAAAATAACTTTTCTAAAAAGAAGATATTCTTTGCAGCTAGCTGTAAAATAAAAGAGTTAATGTATTTAAAACTTAATCTTTTGGGGCCGGTAGGTTGGCATGGTGGATAAGGGTGCTGGACTCTGACATAGCTGACTGCGGTTTGAGTCCCAGACCTGCTGGCTTGCTTTCTCACTTTCTTTCTCTCTTTCTTTCTCTCTCCTCCTCTCTGGTCAAATTAAAATAAAAAAGCTCAATAAAGTAATAACTTTTTAAAAAGTTAATCTTTTAAAAATTGACTTAAGTAATTTTTTTTTTTTTTCAGAAATCTTCCTGCTAAATATGTGGAAGAAGCTTTACGTCATCGACAAGAGTATGATGAGATGGTGGCTGAGGCTAAAAAACGAGGTATAAAATTTGACTCTAAATGACATTGATAATTTGCTGATTTAAGTAGGAAGATGGATTGTGAAATTGATCATATGTCTTCAACATGATACTAATTTCATATATTTCTCTACTGTTTTTACATTTAAGTTTGTTCTTCAAGAGGAGTAAAATGTCATAACAGGATTATAGTTTTCTGCAAGTACTTTTATAAAACTTGTATGAGGAGAAAGGTAATAGACTGACAAATTTTGAAATTGTAGGCATAATACTTAGACTACTCCTACTGTTTTTTTTTTTTTTTTGGTAGGAACTATTTAATTTATAAAACTATTATTGTTATTATTATTTTGAACTTGTTATATGGCACCTGTGTTCACCAGAGACAGACAAAGAGAGAAAGAGAAAGTGAGAAAGCAAGCCGCCAGGTCTGAGACTTGAACCACACTTGGCCATGTGGGAATCCAGTGCCTTTACCACCATAACACCTGCTGTTATCTTAATTTATAAATGTTATCTTAATTTATAAATGAAGATGTTATTCATGAGTTTCACTTTTTAGAGTTTTGGCCTTTTGATATGTTAAAGTTCATTTACATTTAAAAAAAATTATTTACTTTATTTTATTTATTCATTTATTTTAATTTGACCAGAGAGAGAGACAGAGAGAGAGAGAGAGAGAGAGACAATGAGAAAACAAGCTACCAGGTCTGGGACTCAAACCGTAGTTGGCCATGTGGGAGTGTCTAGCACCTTAACCACCACGCCACCTGCTGGTCCCTTCATTTACTTTTTCTGTGAGTGATAGCGACAGAAAAACAGGAGACATCACCCCCAAAAGGGTCCTGACGCTGCAGTCCACCTCCAGGTCAGCTGACGCTTCAGCCAGCTCCAGGTCATGGACATGCATGTGCCCAGTGTACTCAGGGAAGTCTCTGGCCATGACCCTAGAACTTTTCCCTGTGGATCAGCTTCTCAGAGTGCTATGGTTTACAGGTGTGTCACCATCTAACCACCTGATATTTTATAATTCAATGATTTTAATACTTAAAGTAGATTCCTATATGGTTGTGAGAATATGCAAAGAATAAGCAAATAAAATTTGCTTTTATGATCTAGGAAGTCTCTTCAGCGCTCCAGTTGTGTTATTTGCTCAGGCACATAAATATATTCATACTTATTCATTCTTCACACAAAAAAATGATAGAAAGATAATTTAGTAATATTTATTTACTGGCCATTGTTAATTCAGGATAGACATATATTTTTAGAAAATATTACATACCTGTACCTAATTCTAATTCTAGACCCATTTGCTATTTTTTTAAAAAATTATTAATTTATTTTTATTTATTATTTAAAATTTTATCTATAGGATACATACATTCATCAAAGAAAGAGAGGGAGAGAAAGTGAGAAAGCAAGCTTCTAGGTCCAGGACTCAAACCATTATTGGTCATGTGGGAGTCCAGCATCTTAACTACCATGCCATCTGCTGACCCCTAGGTCCATATGTTATCAACAACTGATAGTTTTTTCCTATGACTTAAGTGAATGTAATATTATAATATGCAGTTCTGTTTTATGGTACTCTTTTGAAAATGAAGTTACTTCTTAAATGTTAGAGTAAATATAGGATGCATAAGGCCAGTTCATCTTTTCTAAGGGCCTAATTAATTAGGTGTTATTTTATTTTAGAGAGAGATTTTTGCTAAAGGGTATATGTACTTGCCAGAGAGACAGAAAGTGAGAAATCACTCCCACGTCATTGGCCACAGTGGGGATGGCCACACTGCAGTCTCTTGTCCTCCATTCTCCTCTTGGGATTTTGGGTACATACACATACACATGTGCCCAGCATAGGTACTCCAGGTGTGAGTTTTAAGCCACTGGATCTGGGACTCAAACCATGGTTGGCCACATGGGAGTCCAGCGATGTAACCATTGCTGGTCCCAAGTTGAGTTTATTTGATTTGGATAGGTTTTTGCTATATAGGGTGTGTGCGTGTGCCAGAAAGACAGAGTCAGAGAGACAGAAAGCGAGAAATCACCCCCCCAGGGGGAATGGCCATGCCACAATCCCTTCTCCTCCATTCTCTTCTCAGGATTTTGGGCATGCACGCACACGTGCCTGTTGTGAGTTTAAGCCACCAGGTCTGGGACTCAAACTGCGGTCAGCTACATGGGAGTCCAGCAACATAGCCATTACACTATCTGCTGGTTCCAAGTTTATTTTATTATACACAATTAGATATATTTCTAACATACTCAGGGCAGGTGGCATGGTGGTTAAAGGGACTGGATTCCCACATGGCTGACCATGGTTCAAGTCCTGGACCTCACGGCTTGCTTTCTCTCCCTTTTCTCTTTCTGTCTCTCTCTGGTCAAATGAGAAAAATAATAACAAGTGGAATAAATAAATAATTCTTATAAAAATATTTCTAACATAATCAGTAAGTTTTTATTGACTCTTAACATCGACTTTACTATTTGATTACTATTTAAGATAATTTTGGGGGCTGGCAAATGGAGTGGTGTTAAGAGTGCTGGACTCCCACATGGCCAGCGATGGTTTGATTTCTGGAACTGGCAGCTTGCTTTCTCACTTTCTCTTTCTCCCTGATCAAATTAAAATAAATAAATAAAGCTAAAATAATTTTTAAATAATTTTAAATAAGTAGATCCTTAAAATACGATATGATAGAAATGATTTTGGGGAAAATCAGAAGGCCACAGCTTTAATCATTTGATACTATTTAGATATGATATAGAAGTACTGAGGTTTGTAATATGGTCAGTCAGGACAACTAAATCTGGGCTTTCAGGTTTCTTCAAGTTTTTGTTTTTGTTTTTAAGCAGTGGAATCTTCTTCCAAGAAATCTTAAATAGAATCCGAATACATAGAATTCTTAGAAAGTGGAACCACTTAACTTGGCTTCCTGCTTGCCCTCTCAGGGTAGTTTCGGAGGCATACGTGAAATGGTTTGAAAAGTGTGGCTAACTGATTTCTGAATCCTCACTGGTTCTAAAATTATATATGATTTTATACGCTACTCTATATTTGTAGCATATAAAATATACTCTCTCATGTTCTAAAAGTGTAACCTCTGATTTCTACAAGTGTGTTATTATATGTGTTTGTTGGGGGGGGTTCAATTTCAATCTAACTGGTAAATACCATGTTAAAAAGGGTCTATGGGCAAGCAGGTAGCATGGTAGTTAAGATGCTGAACTCCCACATGGATGACCGTGGTTTAAGTCCTGGACCAGGCGGCTTGCTTTCTCATTTTCTCTCTCCTTTTACCTCTTTTTTTCTTTCTCTCTCTCTGTCTGTCTCTGGTGAGCACACATGACTTACAACAAATTTATTTATATATTTTTAAATAATTATTTAACTTTATTGATTGATTGTAATTTGACCTGAGAGGGACAGAGTGAGAATGAGAGAAAGAGAGAGAAAGAGAAGGCAAGCTGCCAGGCCCAGGACTCAAACTGCAGTTGGCCATGTGGCAGTCCAGCACCCTTAACCACCACACCACCTGCCAGCCCCAGCAAATTTAAAATAGTAATAATAATAATAATCATAATAAAACTATGTAAATAATTCTTTTAAAAAAAAGAACTTATATACTAGCATGTCATTGGTTAAATTATCTTTTAATGTTATGTGGTTTATGTCAGGAGATTCATAAACCCCTTTATGAAAAAATAGATATTGATTAGGTGCTCATAGTTGTTTATATTGTACATAGTTAAGTCATAACAAATTTCACTTCATATACTAAGTAAGTGTAAATAAAAATACATGAAGTGGGGGCTGGCTGATAGCGCAGGAGTCAAATGTGATGCTCTGTGAGGCTGACTGACCTGGGAAGGAGATGTCCTGAGCTCTCTGGGTCTGTGCATGCCCATGGTCTGGGGCTGCCAGGGAGAGGATCAGTGTCAGGACCTCATTGGAGGTTCTTTCTCTCTCTCTTTCTTTCTCATTGATGGAAGAAATACATTTAAAAACTTAAAAAAAAAAAAAGAAGTATTTGATATAGTAATTATTAATATTTAAATTATTTTTCTAGCCTTCATTTACTTTTGTAAACTAGAGATCTTATTTTAAAATTATGTTATACTATGTAGTTCAAATCCTAACCCCTGTGATTTGAAAAACATGTTGGGCACATGTGCATGTGTGCCCCAAATCCAGACAGGATGGTAAATGACAGAGAAGGGATGGTAGCATGATCGTGTCCCATCGGAGTGTGCTTTCTTGCTCTTCCTCTTTCTGTCTTTAGGGAGCATATGCGCCCTCTGGCAAAATAAACAAAATAAATAAAATTATGTTAATCAAGTTCATTTTTTTCCTTTTCCCCCTTGCTTTCATCATTTTCTCCTTCTCTCCCTTCCTTCCTCTTATCTGAATATTCTTTTTGAGAAACTTCTTTTGTAGAGTTAAATAGGAAAAGGGTGTTTTGAGCATGTTCATTTGTATTGAAATCATTTTTACTTGTTTAAAACAGAAATTAAAGAAGCACATAAAAGAAAAAGAATAATGAAAGAACGATTTAAACAGGAAGAAAATATTGCAAATGCAATGGTAATTTGGATCAATGAAATACTCCCCAACTGGGAAGTAATGTAAGTAAGCAGACTTTCCCTGAATTCCAGTTTATCTCCAAAGAACTCACGTTTCCAGTTCTGTATTTTTATTACTTCCTGTATGCTTTGGCTAAGCTGTATTATTAACCAGTTCCTGAAATTTCCATGTCGATCTCTATGCCATTGCTTTCGTAAATTCCTCAGTTTCTAATACATACTTCCCTTGCTTACCATCTTCTGTGCTGAAAAAATCTTACACCTAGCCTTTGATACCCATCTGACGTGCTTGTTGATTCATGAAACTTTTCACCTCAGTTGCCGTATCTTCTTAGTTCTAACATACCATCAATTGATATAATAGCACTATTTATATAATAGCAAATTTGAGAAAACACAATATTAAATATGTACATACATTGTAAGATGCATTTATTAGTATTATAGTGATTTTAAAATGCTTCTCATAATCAAGGAAATGTGTTACATAAATAACCTTTTCCTTGCGTAAATGCCTCATCTTCATACTTTGAGTCTAGTATACTTCTTTTGCCTTTTATTTTTCCTTTTATTTTTTGATAATATTTTTGTAGATACCATATCTTCCCCCTGCACTGCAGTGTAGGCGATAATCATCTGTAATACCAAGTGTACAATGTTGATAGAAAGCTTGTTGATATTGGCCGTGTGACAGATAATTACATTAGACTCTTTACAAAAATATTTGGATTTGGTTCTTACAAATTTTATAAGACATGTATATTTTTACTCCCATGTGTTTTATAGGGAATCTCAAGGTCAGAGAGGTTAAGTGATTTGCCCAAGGTTATAGGATTAGTGAATGGTTCAACTAGATTTGAACTCAGGTTTATCTGACTCTGCACCCACTCTCTTTCAGCAGACTACACTGCCCTCAAAGATTAGGCCCTTATCTAGTATATTCTTTGTGATTTTTTGTTATTGAATTGGCAACATATTTTTATATCCCTTTTATCCTGCGTTTTTCACTATTGCCACGTATTTCTGATACTTTTATTGTATCCTTGGTATAAGTGGCATTTATTTATTTATTTATTTATTTATTTATTTATTTATTTATTGGAGAGGTTTTTCACTATAGGGCGTGTGCGCTCGCCAGAGAGACAGAGACATAGAGACAGAAAGCGAAAAATCACCTCCCAGGGGTGATGGTCACGCCACAATCCCTTCTCCTCCATTCTCCTCTTAGGATCTTGGGCACGCACGCACACGCGCCCGGCGTGAGTTTTAAGCCACCGGGTCCAGGACGCGAACCGCGGTTGACTACGTGGGAGTCCAGCAACATAGCCATTACACTAACTGCTGGTTCCCTATAAGTGGCATTTATAGAAGGCAGTTATCTTTGGATTACTGTTATATCTCTTTGGGGTACTATATATTTTGTAAACTTTGAAACCCAAAGGAAAGACCGTATTGCTTACTTTTCTGTATTCTTAAAAATCATTTACTCACTTGGCCGTAGACTAGGTAAACCATCATGCAATTAATATTTTCGGTATAAAAAGTAACTTTCTCCTTTTTTCTCCTCCTTTAATTCTAGGCGTAGTACAAGAAGAGTTCGAGAATTGTGGTGGCAGGGATTGCCCCCTAGTGTTCGTGGGAAAGTTTGGAGTCTAGCTGTAGGAAATGAACTAAATATCACTCCCGGTTTGTATTCTATGTTCAGTTCCTCCCACACATTCAAATAGCCATCTCCAGAGTTACAAAGCAGATTAGTAGAGTGGCCATTTAAAAAGCATTACCATATATGTCATTTTAAGAGCATGCTCCATTTCTTCCCCTTCCCAAACTTGGTATGAATTAACAAGTAAATTACCATATTTCATATAAATAAGATTTATAGTTTTTAAATTTAGTTTGTAACTATCAAAAACATTCTTGACATCTGAATTTCATAAATGTAGGTAGTTTCAAAAACTTCTGGGATTCTGTGGTGGCAGTAGATAAGTCTGTATAGAAAAAAAAAGTGCAATTGTGAAAGGACTTCTTTACTCAAACATAGATATTGGGAGAAGAATAGAAAACTCTTATTTCTTTTATTCCTACTTGACAGTCCTTTTGAATTTTTCGTAGTTTAGAAAACAGAAAAGGAAACAAGACTTGAAAGAATTACTGTCCTATCTTCTTCTGTTTTTAAAAATCTTAACAGATAATAAAATGTAGTTTCAATGAATTAAAAACCACTTAGAGAAAATTAGGATAATGTGAACTAGAGGAAAATAAATAGTTAATAATAAAAGGTGCTAAATCAGTTTGAGTGAAAAAGATAATACTAGACAGTGGTATTACAGAAGGACTTAAGAACACCAGTATAGTAACAAAAATACGGTTACTGTGACTTCTACAATTTTTCTTTCCATATTTATTGAAAACAAATTCAAGCAGTAATGAAGTATTCTAACCTGTATTCCTGATCCTACTGTAGCACTGTTAATAATTTGGTATATTTTCTTTCAGATCTTTTTTTCTTTTCTACATAACATAGTGTATATCTACATATACTTTTTTTTTTTTTTTTAAGGTTTTTGTCATAAGGCAGATGCGCTCGCCAAAGAGACAGAGAGGGGGAAAGTGAGAAATCATCCCCCATGGTGGACGGCCATACCACTGTCCCCATTCTTCCATTCTTCCCTTGGGATTTTGAGCATGCATGTACATGCACCTGGTGTGTTTTAAGCTGCTCAGTCTGGGAGTCAGACCACAGTTGACTACCATGTCACCAGCTGGCCCCTTCTACATACACTTTTTTTTCCTAGAGAGATTTTTTTTTTTTTTTTTTTTTTATAGGGCTCATGTACTTGCCAGAGGGGGAGAGAGGTGAG